TACAAAAACTGTTGTCTCAATCTGAGAATCGAGGAGAATCTTTTGCCAGACAGTCCTGCCRTACTTCTCTGTAGTTTGGTACGCGATTGCCTCGAGTAACATGCCATACATTTTGATATAAGATGGCTATGACCTATATAGAATAGAATACAAATGATATAATTAATAATGCGAACGAACTATTGGTTAGGGTATGATATGAAGAAATATTGGATGTGGTGCATTATGATATGAAATATTTTTGGTTGAAGTTGAGTAAGAAATGATTTCTTCATATGCGGAATAAATATATAACTAATATGAAGAATTATTGGTTGAGGCTGAATGATATGAACAATTATTGGTTGAGGCTGAGTATGATATGAATAATTATTGGTCTATGTTGAGTAAGATATGAACAATTATTGGTTTAGGCTGAGTAAGACTTATGAACAATTATTGGATGAGACTAGTCCAATATGATAAACCATTAATTGATGCCGAGTATGATATGAAAAATTATTGGTTGAGGTTGTATAAGATATGAATAATTATTGGTCGAGGCCGTGAGTGGCTAGATATGATTATTCGGAGTGAAAAACTGAGACGAAAACATTTATTCTAAACATGTCCATCTTGAATTAATCTCGATTATGAGAAAGATTTCTCGGTTAAGGTTGGAAAGCTACAATTGTAGCACTCACAACAGAGGCATCAAAACAAAAGATTGCAATGCAACGAGTAAAAAATGTTCTCTTCATTAAAACTTAATAAATCAAATTTCATCTCCCATATCGTCCTATCGCTTATATAAACTATCACCTAATACAAAATGCACATCTTGACTGTTTTTTTTTTCATATGAATTTTAACCTACCTCTAATTCAAATCTGTCATCACTCAAGACAGSACGAGTTGGTMAGCTTCACTTAGTCGCACACAATAAAACCTAAGCTTTTGAAACAAGACAGTTCATTAACTTAAAATTTCAATTTGTACTAGATTTGATATACTAACTTAAATGTGCATCACCTGCCCCGGACTTGGAGTACAAACAACCTTTAAGTTAAGTCAAAGACAAAGGCTCCGCGCGCGCACACAAATAAAGAGAGTATTCCAAATAAATTTAGTTAGAAGCGTTTAATATGTCTTGAAAAGTGACACAGCCGAGCGATAGAAAGGAAATGAAAGGAATAAACTGTCGTTATATTTGCTTTTAGGCTTTTCTGAGGGGTTTGGTTCTTGCTTGCGTGACTTTGTATTACAGATGGAGTTAGAGGTAGAGTAATTAAGGTCGGWAAAGAATATGGTCTTAATGCGGTATGCTATGTTATTGTCTTTGATTAAATGAGGTTTTTAAGTTTGACAGAATTTGATGGTGAATGTAAATACCATTTAAAATATGTTAGATAATAAGATTATAGCTTCATTTGAATGAAGTATAGTGGAACCTCAAATTGCGGTCACTCGTTTATATGACCATCCCGTTATAACGGCCAGGTTTTTTGTTCTCGGTGAAGTAAACGCCATTCTATCTTCTACCCACCTATAACGGCCACCTCATTTAAAGAGGTCATTTCACAACAATGACACCTCGGTGGCCGGATTAGCGAGGTCAGTTTTTATATAAATAGTTGTACCTATTATTGAAATGCCTAGGATGGATGGAAGGGAGTTTAAGTGATAAATGAATAAAAAAGAAAAGAAAGAAAAAAGAAAAGAAAAGAAAAGAAAAGAAAAGAAAAGAAAAGAAAAGAAAAGAAAAGAAAAGAAAAGAAAAGAAAAGAAAAGGAATGAATGAATGGTTAGTGAATCAATGAAATAATAGCATGTCGACAGATGGTTCTCTCGTGCAGATACAGTAAACCTACGCAAAACAAACACTGAAAATATAATCACAACTTCAAAGGGTAAATCGCATAAGACCGAGAAAAAATACCAGTCTGCCACCAAATCATGCTCTCATGATAACTACGACTGAAAAACCAATTGAAAGCTTAAATTTTTGCTCAATAATCCCAGTGTATTTAAACTATGAGAATCGACAAATCGAAAAAAAGTTCAATATTGGCAACCAATATAGTTTAACAGTGATTAGATACGTCGTCAAAGTGCATAGTCAGACCTGAAAATCAATGTATGTAACAGTCCGACACAAAATACTAATAAGTTTATCATAAAGACAGACCTCTTAGCATGCCTGGATAAATAGAAGTGTTGAAAAGGGTGAAGAGTGTTAAAAATATCTCTAACGAGTGAGAAATTTTTACTGACACGAAAAGATAAAATTCGTATCTCCAAGCGACCATGTAATATTCTATTTATCATATTATTACATGTGAAAGCAAATTATGTCGTAAAAATACTTTTTTTTCTTACTTCCACTATTTAGAGAAACCTCGAATTTGTTATTTTCACTAGTGAAAATATCAATTTTACGTGATGGAGAAATATAGGTATTTCATAGATAATTATATGACAAAGAGTTTTACTACATAGTTTTCAAAATATTACATGTTCGCTTGGAGATATGGATTTTATATTCTCGTGTTGAAAATCTCTCACTCGTTTGCTACGCTCCCTTAACTCGTAAGAGATCTTTTCAACACTCGAAGATAAAATCCGTATCACCTCACGCCCATGTAATATCCTCTATATATCATAAAATCACTAGCCCTTATACTTATAGCATGCCTGGATAAAGAGTTATAAGCCACTCAGTGATGCTGTTTTTGGTATGGCAGCCATATTGATATTTCTCTTTCTTGGAAAACAAAATGGCGGACACCAAAAAACTGTTAAAGTCTTACCGTTAAATAGATAATTTTTGAGAAATAATTTGTTATATATTCATCCATGACATTGCTTAGTACATGTTTGAATAGTTGGTACTTAAAATTGCACGAGGAAATTAGCATATCAAGGAAATAGCCCAAAGCTTTTTTCAACACACACAGCCACAGAGGAAACTAGTTTTGTGTGTTTTCCGGTAGACTAAATCTAAAAAAAAATACTAAAAATACTAACAGCGCGGGAATTATAAACATAGGATAATTGATTTGAAATTATTTTAATTTGAATTAATTTATTATAATTATAATTATTAGATTAGATTAAATTGCCCTAAACGTCATGTGAATAGATCTCTGAAGCTTTTACGTCATAACAGTATTCGCAATGCATTGTAGGATATATGTTTGGGACAGAACATGGCGGTTTTCTTTTGTTTTCTCAAGAAACTAATCCCACAATGCACTGTAAATCACGCAGGTGATGTAAAAGCTTCAGAACTCTATTGAAAACATTGGCAAACTCCAAGGCAACGGTTGAATCGTCGAAATCTAACAAGCTATGAATGAATGTTCGGAGTTCGCTCGGCTTTTTACGGAGAAATCTCGATATAGAAGGTCAGATTTTTGATAATACTGAATGAGATAACTCGCGTTAATCTAGTGTGAACTGCGTCGGTTCTAAGTCGGAGCTGCGTCGGTTCTAAATCGG